TCCTTTTCCTAGTGGACCAGTTTGCCATATAATAATAAGTGTTTTTAACACTTAAAATTTGTCTGGGCATCAAGCCATGATCTAGTGGTGGTACAACCATTGCCACCTAGTTCTATGTAAATAGTTTTTCACTTGATCATGAAGATCTCTATAGCTTTGCGCTCTGCCTGGATAATGAGCATAACAAATGGTACAATGGACACTGTTTGAGTTTTCAAAATGGACACGATGATAACAAAACTTCAAACAGGTATCACTGGGATATACTTTATTTGTACCTATCAATTTCAGGAATGTAAATATTTTAATTAACGGTTGGGTACAAAATTCACCAATTAGGGTCCATACTAGGTAGGATGCCAAAGTGTGTCTGACTCTATTTGGAATGTTGTGAAATAAAGTTACTTCTATTAAAAAAAAAGCACTCTGTGATCGAATGATAAAACAATTATTGAACTCATGCCCAGTTATCGCAAAATATCGTGATTTGTCAGTGTCTTGCAGATCAGTTATTTGCCTCAGCCGATTTATTGATCTGCTTTGCCACTGACAAATCACAATATTTCGCTCAACCTCGTCCAATAATTGTTAATTATTTCACATACATGAATTTAGAGCATAAAGTAATGATCATTTTACAATGTTTCCTGTAGCATCAAACATTGACGACAACAAACAACCTCAAGAAAGATGTCGAAGAAAATCTGATTCAGATCTGTGTGTCAAGCCAGTTGAGACTGATGTCACTTACTTGAGACTACAGCAGGCGGAATGTAGACTATCTCTTGAGCAAGAAAAGAGAGAACAGTTAGAGAGTGAAATTAAGAATCAATCAGCTGAGGCCATTGATGCTGACATTGAAGGGGATGAAATCTATGGTGCGATGGCAATGGCAGAAACAACAGACAAAGAAAGCGGTAATGTATAATAAACACTAACTCTTTTAAATACCTAATGTAGTTTATTCCAGTTGAAGTATAATGTATGAACTCATACGGATTCGCACTCCTTGGCTGCCTTTTTCTAACAGGCTTTTTTAAAGTGCTTTATATTGATACATTTTTGATTCGTATCAGTGGAGAAGGTTTCGGAAAAGTAGCACTAAGAGCAACTCTGAAAGAATCAAACAGTAGGAAATGAAAAAATTGACCTCCTTTCCAATTTTGTGTGCAGAAAGGTCCTTCAAAGGGAATGTGCTAAAATACCCCACACTGGGGTCATTAGTTTTACTACTGTCAAGGTAACCGCAAACGTTTGTTGGTATCCAGAGAGGCAATTTTGAACTTTAAAACTCTTCTTAAAAAATTAGAATGTTTCTGAAGTCGATTTCAAAAGTGCAACTCCAGAATTGCACAAACTAAATTATAACACTTATTCTAGTTTTCACTGATATTTTGCACAGAAGCAGCCAGTCGGTAACTGATATCATGGGAGAATTCTTGGATTGCTTTTGACTATTCTTTTGAAGGTCTCCTTTAACTTTTTCGAATCACATCCATATTTGGTAAATAAGTTGCCTTTAATTACCAGAACAGGAAACGTCGTATAAAACTGGAACATTTTTTGCCAATGAGAATTGCCAATGGTTTAAGAATTTTCTGGTGCAAAACGTCTAGCACGGATTTGTTCAAATTCAGATTGTTAAAAATGTTTATGATGTCATAAAGTTTTAGTCCACATTTACTGTTTCCATGGTTTTCTTGCTAGTACTTCCATTTTCACCACTGACTTTAGTGTTCCATCTCGAGACTCTGTGCTGACCTGAATTCTGGTCAATCATTGAATGTCACGAAGCGGTTGCTTTAACTTCAGATTTAGTTAGGGGAATATCTACAATGTACGGGAACAGCGGCTTCTTCCCCAGACCGATAAGAACTGGAACGTTTAGGACGTTTAGCCATTTGGCATGAGATGCAAAGACACTCTATTAGATTTAAGCAAACCCTTCATATGCACTTTTACTGAACTACTTTTTGTTTTGTTTTTATGTAATCCACCGTACCGAAAAAGATGGCAACTGGTACATTTACCAATAATTCTTAGCGCACGAAAACCCTAAAAACACTCATAAAAACACACAGAAAAGTTCTAAAAAACTTCAAACCTAGCATACACAATGTTGTTAGTACAGGGACGAATTTCACAAAAAATATAGCTTTCTATGTGCCTTATTGGCTGTGTTAGGTTCGCAAGGTATTGTGGTAAAATGTACAGCACCATCTTTTTCCGTATACGGTTGAGTTGCACGGCATGCACTGTATTTCACATTATCTTGACCTACAGTTGCACTTAGCACTTTTTCTTTATTATTTTAATCTTGGTGTGATAAGTATAGAGTTAAAGGGACACTGTCCCGGCATATTTGCTCAAAACTGTTATAAATGCATGAAATATGGTCCCTAAATCTATGAATGAGAACTTAATAAACTCTAACTAAATGATAAAAAGCAATTTCTTCAAGAAATTCCATACTGCAACAAAATTTTTGCAAACTTTCAAAGATTTCCGAGCCAAATTTGAAACTTTGAAAAACTGACATCCTGACGTTTTTTCAAAAATCCATATTGCAATCCATTTCCATCCTCACTGTCGTCCATCATAATCACTTCCTAATGGGTTCCTGTCATTTGTCGAGTGTTATTCTACAGAATCAAACCATTATTGATCAACTTCCTATGATCTAGATATGTTTCTGAGCTTCCCAAAATCATGCTAAAATCAGGACAGTGTCCCTTTAAATTTAAATGTTAGGCTTTTAGGGATTCCTTTTGTGTAGTTTTTGCCTTATACACTCCACCACCCTACGCCTTTACCTTACATGTATATGTCTGATTTATTAATGCCGTACATATCTTTCCTGTAGGCCATTTCAGAGGACTGGAGTACACATCAGAACAATTGAATTATTTTCGATTGTGCTTCATCGTCTTTAACTTGATTCCGGAAGGGCTACGAATAATTTTCAAACAAGAATGGGATTCCCGTTACAGAATGACGCTTGGAGAATGGAAAGACACACCAAGGAATGGTTTAGACTTTTACAATAACGAATCTAGAAGCAGTCAAAGGAGGAAGGCGTACATGCTGAAGACTATGCAGAATGGCAATACGGTAGAATGGGAAACCAATATGTTGGTCTTCTCGCTATTGGCCTCAGATAGCATTCGCAGCCTAAATCCAACCACCCGGAAATGTGTTGATGATATTCGTGCAGTCCGAAACGAGGTTGTTCATTTCAGCAAGGCTGGTCTCACTGATGGTCAGTTCCAAAATTATGTTGGAAAAGTGATAAATGCTTTTACCTCTTTGGGCCTTCCAATCGATGATATCGAAGCTGTTAAAGACCAGAGAAGCTTTCCGACGCCCGAAGTGAAAGCGTTAGAAAAGCGAGTTTGTGATGTCACCGTCCAGTTTATTGAAGCACAACAAGTTGCTTTGCATTCTCTCAAAGAAAAACGTGGGCCGTTTATGCAGTGGGAGTTGTATTCCAAGGTTGAGCCGTTTTGCAGTCTCCCATTTAAACCATCACATCAAATCTTCACACGTTCTAATGACCTCAAAAGGATTTTGACGAAAATGAAAGAAATTGAAGTTCGAAGACAGAGAGCAGTTAGCACGATTTATCTTTCAGGAAATCCTGGATGTGGTAAAAGTCAACTTGCTCGTCAGCTTGGGCAAGAGTTCTTTAGCTCAAGATCACGTGACGATGATCTCGTATTTGTTGGAACAATTAATGCAGAAACTCTTCAGACTTTAATAGACTCTTATATCCTTCTTGCTAAGCAGTTACGAATTCCAGAAGACACCTTGACCTTCCTGGCACACAGGATGACAGAGCGGCCGAAGGAAACAATTAATCATCTCAAGGAGTTGATTTTTCTAGCAATGCGAAGGTTCTCTACTTGGTTGATAATCGCTGATAATGTGATTGATCTACCTATGATCCACAACTTCTTGCCCCACACCTCCAGTTTTGAGTGGGGTCACGGTCAGGTGCTGATTACAACTCAAGATAGCAGTTCAATTCCTACAAGTGCTCCTCATACTTACCACGAGTCACTCAGCAAGGGAATGCTTTCAGATGATGCAGTGGAGCTATTAAAACAAGTTTCGCAAATTGCCGATCAAGAGCAAGCAGAGAAGGTTGCTGAAGTTCTTGAGTATCAGCCGCTTGCCTTAGCAGCTGCTGCATTGTATGCGCAGACTGTTGCGAACAGTGGGTCTCCGAAGTACAATTGGTCGGAATATCTGGAACTAATTGGTCAGAGCAAACATGAACTGACAGAGGAACCTTCAGTAAACAATGGCGACTTCTATTAAAGTGGCAATGAATAAAGCCTTCGAAACTGACGAAATTCTCCGCCAGACATTTACTCTCTTCTTACTGTGTACCTCAGAGTCCCTTCCAATTCAAGCGGTTTTGAATTTTGTTGAAGATCGTACGATCCAAGCTAAAGAGAGAGTAAAAGAACGACTTTTAAAATCCTCTTCATTTCTCTGTTTTTCTGAAGAAGATGGAGCACCCGAGTATCTCCATTTGCATAGCATTGTTCTGCAAGTTCTCAAGACAGAAGCTGTTTTTGAGTTAAAATCTGAAGAAAGATTAACGTGCTTGTCCACATTATCGCGGGTTTTTGTAGCGCTGATGGCTGAAAAGGAAAAACTGTTGTCAGTAACTGCAACTAAGAAAAGTGAAATTGAAGAGTATGAGAGCATAGTCTCAAGCATGCGTGGGAAGAGCATGCTTCAGTGGCTCTTTAACACTTAACTCAGGTAACTGAAGGATAGGTGACTTGCTAGAATGCTTATCATTTTCGAATTATGGACATTTGGTTGCTCTTCCCGGTCCACTACTTGAAATGCAATGTGACGAGGGCAGAGGCTTTCAAGATTTAACAACAATTTTTAACTTGACAATGCAGTATATTGACATAGTTGGCAATATCATTATCTTTTGCATCTAGCCTATACGTGTAGTCAGGTTTAGTATTAGAAGGGGAGGTGGTGTGGCCAAGTGGTTTAGGGCGCTGGATTTGAAATCTGGAGGTCCCTTGTTCAAACAGCTCCACCTAGCCACTAGCTGAATTTGTTCTCGGTAGTCCCGAGTTCAACTCCTCGGCCACGCTTTGTAAATAGCCAACTGGTTAGCCTCCTGCCAGTTGGGATTCTTAACACGTTTATGTTCGATTTGCAATATTTGTTTCTTCATTTACAGTGTCCACAATTAGTACTACAGTGCTGAATACACCGACACTTAAATAAAGTATTTTATTTTTGTATTATTTGTTATTAGTAAATACCAAACAAGTGAATAGTGCTTTTCGCGTGCTCTGATTGGCTACTCAAACTCCGGATATCCTTTGCTATTCACCTCCGAGCAAAACAAAATGGCTTCCCACAAGTTTTTGCCCAATTTGTCACAAAATAAAATTACTGTTTGGGGCTGGCTATTCACTTGTATGATATATACTAAAACAATAATTATTCACTCTAATCATAGTTGAGTGGGAGACGCAGTGGCCTAATGGTTAGCGTGTTGGACTCTGGATCGAGCGGTCCGGGTTCGAGCGCTGGCCGGGGTGTCATTGTGTTGTGTTCTTGGGCAAGACACTTCACTTTCACAGTGCCTCTCTCCACCCAGGAGTATAAATTGGTACCGGCGACAAAATTCTGGGGTGTAACCTGCAATGGACTTTCCGTGGGGAGTAGCAATACTCCTAGTCTAGAAGCCGGAGTTAGCGTCGGTACCCATGAGCCATCTGGCTCCTCTGTTCCAGGAGTAGAACAGACTATAATTTATATCTAATCATAGTTACTGACTGTTTATCGCTTTTATCGTCACAACAGGCTAGAAATTTACTGTATGTGTTTAGGTGCAAAGCGAAATCAACGCTATATAATAAACTAAGTTAGTTAGGTGTTGTAAAGTATAAATTTAAGTAGTAATTTAACTAATATATATCACATAGAATTAGTTAATTAAGTAAATTACTTTTAGTTTTTGAAATCACGCCGGGTCGCCGTGAGGCCAGAAACTGCACTCATGGAACTACGCAGCTAAAAGTTTGCAACATAACAGACATGACTTTTGTTTTTAGTGGGAAAATGACGTATTTTAATCTTATGATTTTGAGAGAATATGTTGAGATGAAATGAAATGTGAAAAAAATAATTTTTAAAATGGCATTTGATTACAGATATTGCATTTTGAAATTTGCCAATTTTCTAAAAATAGTAACAAAATGGTGGGAATCTTCATATCTTTTGAACTAATTTAGCTTTTTTCAATTATTTTTTCGCATTTTAATTTGTCTCGACATGTTCTCTCAAAACCATGCATTAGTTTAGTCACAAGGTGAAAATAAAATTTTGCTGTTAGTGGTATGACGTCATTTTCCCGCCAAAAATCATGCGATTGTTTGAAAATGCAATGTCTGTTATGTTGCAAAGTTTGAGCTCCATCGGATAAAAAACACAAAAGTAATTCCATGCGGCGGGGCTAAAGTACAGGTCACAGGTCAGGTCACAAGTCACCCCAAGGTTAGCCCTAACCTAACTCTAAAGCTAATCCTGACCCTAACCCTAAGGCTAACCCTAATGTTAGGGTTAGGGTTAGCTTTAGAGTTAGGTTAGGGCTAACCTTAGGGTGACCTGTGACTCTGACCTGTGAAATGTGACCTGCACTTTAGCCCCGCCCAATTCCACGAGTGCAGTTTCAATTCTCACACTGACCCGGCGTGAATTGATTGTGGCGTTATGGTGCCTCCGTAGCTTTTCTGTCAAATTTATTGTATAACGTATGTAGGTCTATGTAGTTGAAGCTATAGAAAATAAATTTATGATTACTTTATTTTTTATCGATGACAGTTTCAGCTGTTTGTTCCACAGAGGCTTCCGTGCGTGCGGGCGGAGATATCCCGGTGGAGTGGGGGGGGGGGGGGGGGAGTCCCATATGAAAGTGACGAGGATGCCTCGTCGTCTCGTTTAGGGGTGTAAATTACGGATTTTGGTATCACGTTTTTTTAGCCATCAAGGTATCGTTTAGGGTTGCATGTCATACTGTGTTGGTGGTATCATTACTGGAGATAGATTGCACCTTAAAGTGCCCATAATCTTTTTTTATTTTCTCATCTGAATGTAAACATCACCCAAGGAACTTCTGCGAAAATTGTTTGCGATTTTCACAAAAACTCGAATGTTTTATAAATTTTAAAAAAGTTTCAAATTTGCCACCATTTTGGCTCACCTTTTACCTTAGTCTCCTCTCGGTTCACAAAGGATCTATGACGTAGATTAAGGAACACGTGACTTCAGACAAAGGAACTGTGACGTAGATTAAGGAACACGTGACTTCAAAACAAAGAAAATGTGACGTAGATTAAGGAATATGTGAGCCCGTCGGCCTTCTTAACAGCGGGACGGGTAAACCAAACAAAAATAGGATTTTGAACATTTGAAATATTCATAACAAATTCTCGTTTTGTGCAAATCGCGAAATTTCCTTGGGAGATGTTTAGATTCAGATAAGAAAATTAAAAAAAAGGTCATGGGCACTTTAATAACTCTTGTTTGTCTGTCTTTTTTAGAATAGTATTTTTGGGGGGTTAAATAAAGCTTGAGCCACGCCCAGATTGGTCTCCTTTAGGGGTTTAATTCAAAATTTCCGACGAGCATTCCCGTCCATTTTAAATGGGAGTACGCCCCGGGGGAGATATTCTCTTGCAAAATATTTAGCGCGCAGAGTGCCCTGTCTTCAATGTATAAACAAGTAACCAAGGAGGATTTCAAAATCTTGGCCTTGATTAACTCTTCTGTCTGCCCCGTAAGTTAACGGCGGCCTCTATTGGGAGAGATTCGGAAGCACATAGTGAAGGAAGATAAAATGCCTGACGAAGAACTTCATCGATTAAGCTGTATTCTCTCTGGCAAGAGGCTCTTCTGTTCTTTCACGTTCCCCGCGACCAAATGCATTAGGTCGCATCTCGAATGTCCCTTACAGGCTTCCGTAAAAAACAGTTTGTAAAACAACGAAAATGTAATGTGATATAACTACCGCATTTCCTCGAATAACAGCCGTCCCTCGATTAATCCACCCCCCCCACCCACCCCCCTCGAATAATCGCCCCCTCCCTCTAATAATCGCCCCCTCCCTCCCCTTTCTCGACCACCCCTCCTTGTCAAATTAAGGACGGTGCCTCCTAATACCAAAGTATTTTTGCGCGGTTCATGACTATGCGGGAAAAGCAGATCTTAGCAAGGGCTATTGGATTCCAAAAAGAAAATTGGGGGTAACCACGCATTTTTCAGAGATAATCAAGCTTCAATCTGGAAAAAAATGCTGAAATAGCATTTTCTCGGAAAAAAAGAAAAACATATTTTTTCGCAGATTCCCTTTGAATTTGCCTTGACATACACGAAAGCAACAATAAATATAAAAAAGCTTTAAAATACTTAACAAATGGTAATATAACAACTACTGTTAATGTGTTTTTTAATTAAAAATCATCGCAACGTAGCCATTATCAACCCTGACAGCTCTCCTCTGGTATACCAAAAATACAGTCTAAATAACTTTTGCACACAACAAAAAATTAATCATATGTTTAATAGGCTTACCGCTTCCATTTTATAACATAAAAAGTAGGGGTCACCACGCGTTTTTGTAAGTTATATGAAGAAGACGACCATATATTTCCCTGCCGAGCTTAGCCTTAAAGAGATTTTGCAATGTTCTGTATGTGCGCGCGCTCGAGCGCATGACGCGAGAAATTATGCGCAGAACGTATGCGCAGTAACAATAGGAGGCACCGTCCTTAAAAGTTTACACCTTGGATAGGAAACAAGCTTTGATTTATCGTTACAACATAGAAAAATTACAAAAGCACAGGTTTCATTACAATTTTTCTATAGTGTTGTTCATGTATTTGACTATCTAATTAGCACATTAGCCCCCCCCCCCCCCACCCCACCCCTTACTCTCCAATAATCGCCCCTTTTTTGGTACTAAAAATAAATTAAATAAATTATACGAAAGTAGTGACGTTTGTACGGGTTCACATGTAACAGTAAAAAATAATAAAAAATGGCTGTTTCCTATTTACACTAGCTTACAGCAAACACGAAAGAAAGTTTGGGAGAATTCAAATGTTGATAAAATTAATTCTGAAAATAATAATTTTTTAATAACTTTTAATTCCTAAATTCAGCGTAGTCACCCTTCTTAAATCTTCATAATATTTGTTCTTCAACTTGCGAGTTTTTGTTGGTAATCTCCACAGTATTTTATTCAAAATAAATATGGAATGGGAGGCCGTCAAGAACTGAAAAGAATGCGCCGCGTTTTATTGCTTTTGGGTTGGTTTGCATAACAAAGTACATGCAGAAATGTAGTAGCTGAGAAGAACGCATGCAAAGCTTGCAAAAATGTGCGACGTATTTGCTAGCAATTGGCCCAGAAAACATTTCCATATTCATGACAAATTATCGCACGGATTCGAAATTATTGTTTGTCAGTCAGATTAGTTCGCGGAGGTTGTAAGACGTGGACCGCTCCCTTCTTCGCGAGGAGCAAACTTCGAAGGCGTTTAGAGAAATGAAGTTCCACACAGTTTGAACCCTGTCATGGTAAGCATCTGTTTCTTGGCATTTCATGTTAAGTTCTAGGGAAGTATTTTCGAGCTCGTTTACAAATGCGCCACGGCTCGAAGACCTAACACGTGTGCTTGCACTCTGCTTACGCTTCTTGTCGAAGCTCAAAACGCCTTCTAAATTGCTTTAGCAAAGACTTTGATGTATCATAGAATTGCACTAAACCATTCTCAACGCTATAATACGGAACCATAACTCAATTTGTACTTTCCCTCGCGAACGCGCGAAGTTTGGCCATCTTGAAACTGAATTGACGAGTGTGGCGAGAGTAGTATTGTCAAAGCTTTGTATTTGCCCTTTGCGTTCATGCTGTTGAATTTGTTTCTTATACCATTCTTATTTATTTTACTTCAGCCAGAGAATAGTCCATGAAGGAAACAAAGAAAGGATGGCAAGGACGAAGAGAGAAAGAATAAAGCTTGG